CAGTACTGTAACAAGCTCTGCGGAATCTTCAAGAAGTTACACTATCGAACTTCCAGAAATGAAGGGGAGTGTTGTGATATAATTGATACTTAGCATTTCTGTAAGTCGATTAAGTGTAGTTAGTGTCAAATCATACTGTAGAAGATAAGTCCCTAGGATGACGTCAGCAAATAGCGCTCGTCATAGGACAGTCGTTTTCAGTCACGCAAATAGTCGCACCTCTTCATTATCATCTAGGGTGCATAGCGCGATAGTGACGAACAGGTACATTAGCGAATACCGTAATCTCCCGGCATGATTACCCCCCCCGAAAAAGGGACTCTGGGTCTTTTTTCCGGACCATGGGTCTTAATATCGTAAAGGGATTGTGAGGACCCGCTGTTTGGGGTAAATCATTTGAGGACCCCCCCCCCCTTCTGTTTTAAGTGGTTTTCATGGCAGTTTTTGCTCAATTTCAAAATGCGTCATGCACTACAAAGTCAACTTCCACATCATTAGTTAGGACGGTCCTACCGGTACTATTGCTTCATGCCAATTGCATCCTACCTACTCTACATACTTCCTTAGGGAGTCCTAGGCACTGCACATCCACGGCAGCACACCTCATGTTAGACCAACTCATCGAATCTACTGATACGGTACACATCCATCGAACTGCTACTAGCTACCACTACTGAAGGGACTCAATGTCCCAGGCTCTGTTGACGTCCACCTCGCCATGGGAACTCCAAGACTCAGTTGTTGAGGCCTCTTCGTCTGCCGCTGCTGATGCCGCTTCTGCCGCTGCTTCTGCCGATGTTGCTGCCGCTGCTGCTGCTGCCTCCTCTGCCTCTTCCTCCTCCTCCTCAGCCATCTGCCCATCCCCCTCCTCCTCGCCTCCCTCCCCCTCGTCTTCCTGCTCGGCCTCCGCGTAGAGTGGATTGATCCACTCTTCCACAGCCCCGGCAGCATGCACGTCATCGTGCACTTCGACTTGGGCAGCGTCGCGCATGTGAGCAAGGACCAGGTGGTCCTCGCTCCCGTCGGGGTTGTTGCTGATGCCGCACGTTTTGAACGCGCGGACAATGATGTCCTCGGGGACAAGGTCCCACGAGTTCCAGATCCAGCGCAGGACCAACTCTGGCGGCGGCTTCCTCAGATTGCCTGCTCAAGTAAGCAATCAAGAGGAAGACAGAGAGGTGAGATTCCTGAATTGTGAGTTAAACAGGGCAGGCACTCACATACCAACAAACATGAGAGAGGCTCACCAGCGGGCGTCAGCAGGTCAATGCCTTCTGTGGCGAACCAGTCGTTGTAGAACCGCCAGACGCCCGCCTTGAAGGCGCGGTTGATGACGACGTCAAGCGGCTGCAGCAGGGGTGTGCAGCCGCCAGGGATGATTGCGGGGGTGATCTTGTGCCACCTGAAGGAGCCAAGCACGCCGTCCGTCAGGTGCCCACGGTAGGAGTCCAGGACAAGCAGTGTCTTGCTCCTCGAGACACCTATGGGGGGGCGGATGAAGGGCAGCAACACGTGCTGCACCCAATCTTGCACGAGGCCTCCATCCATCCAGCCTCGCTCCTGGGCTCAGATGAGGAGACCTGCACAGTAATGCACGCACACTGTTAGGAATAATAAGGGGGAAACAGCTAGGGAGACAAAATAGGCTGTCATGAAGCAAAACTCACCAGGTGGTGCTCGAATATTAGGGATCGTCTTCCTTTTGAAGATGACCATGGGAGGCAGTTTCCGGCCGTCCGCTGTCACCGCCAACATCACCGTCACCCTCTCCTTCTCATACCCGGCGCTCCGAATCTGTACAGTCCGATCCCCCTGATGGTGAAGTGTGCGCTCGAAAGGCATCTCCAGGAACACTGGAGTTTGATCTGCATTGATCATGTTCCATGGGTCGATGCCGCTCTCCAGCACCTGTTTCCGGACGAAGCGCCAAAAGCTTTCGCTCTTTGGCTTGCAATCTACCAGTGGAAACAAAAAATACGCGGAAGAGTAAGGTAGGGGTGAATACGCCATGTTATTCCACGACCATACGGCATGCAGTGGGATTAAAAAACATTCTAGAACACTCGGCGCGAATGAGAGAGGTCGGCTTACCGCGGGTCAAACGCTGACCAATCTTGGTCTTGACTCGCACCGTGAGACCCCAGGGAACGCGAAACCTGAAGGTCCAATGAGGTGAGGCCCTCCAGTCCACCTCGGGATGATGAGTCTTCATGAACTGCCGGCTCCAAACCTGAAGGAGGGAAATCGGGACTGCAAGGCCACGGGAGCGGTGGCTTAGGAACTTTCTATAGACAGCCTGCTCCATGTCGGGGTGCCTCCACGGTCGCCCTGCGCCCACAAGCCTACGCCTGGAGCCCGAGGCGTGTGTCATGTCCTCTTCCTTCTTCAGCCAGCGCCGAATGCTCACCGGCTCGACACCCGCTTCCCGCGCCACCCGTCGAATGGTCAGCCCCTCGTCGCGCATCTTGTGCAGCCAGCCGATTTTCTCGGCCATGGTGCGCGATGTGCGGCGGTGCTTTGTCCTCCTGGCGCGAGACTCTGGTGCACATGCGTCAAGTGGACGCCGAGCCTCGGTGTCGTGACGCAGAATGTCTGGTGGGAATTGAGGGTCGGGGAAGGAGGGACGAGGGGATTCGTCTGCGTTGGGCACACGCTCACGGTGGGTGAGGTCCTCGTCATTTGTTGGCTCCCAAAAGCCAGCAAACGTAGGCGATGGCGCAGGAGGAGCCGGAGGAGCAGGAGGCGCTGGCGGCGCGGGAGGCGCGGGGGAGCAGGCGACACAGGTGGCGCTGGAGGTGCGGGCGGTGAAGGTGCTGCTGAAAAGCTGGACGGTCTGCTGTGCGAACGGGTGTGCCTACATACGCGATTCTGCATGAGCATTTGCAGAGCCGACATGGCTGTTGCTTGGAAAAATCCCACACTTAGCGGAGAGAGAGGGGAGAGATGCCATCTCCTGGAACATCAAGCTTGCTAAAAACCCTGGTTGAAAAACAGGAAATGAGACTTGTCGCAGGGACTACCCCTCTGTGAAGACGGAAAAGAGAGGGACGTGAGGCGGAGCGAGACACGACGATGGAGGGAGTCATGCCTGCCTGACACAAGAAACCTCTCAATGGGGTGGACCGTGGGGAGACTTCGTGAACGAACCTCTCCCCTCCATGTAATGACTCTTGCTGGCAGTCAAGAAGCCCGCGCGATTCGCCAGCGCTGTAAAGTTGGCAGCCGTCGATGCTAAGAATCCGACGCGTGTCCATCTAGATGGCTCGGACAAAACGAGGCTAAGAATATACTTCCCCCGTTTGAAACAAAGGACCCCCTGTATAACCTCAATTGGAATACCAGAACATGTGACAAACAAACACCTTACGTAATACATAACTACACATGGGTCTTATTAATTACCATCCTTTAAAATGTCCACCCAAACTATTTTCAATGAATTTTCCATAAGACCTAGGGTCATCATGCCGGGAGATTACGGTAGGTACCTTTCCTAGAACTATAAAATCCTTGTTAGGTCTTTTCATTATTAACTTTTGATTACCCACAAGTTCACATACTCAGGTTATTCAACCTTGACTATTACATTTTACAAGACTTCCGCTGCCTTACTAGTCTACCATTCCAGCAAAGATCCTGGACCAACACTTGAGGATTTTCCAAGTGTTCGTGTTTGCAGTTTTATACTTCGTCTACTACAACACCTGTCGAATTATTTCAGAAGGAACAGTTATCGAGTCGCACAGCGCCTCGATTGTCTGTTCAGTTACCCCTCTTGCAGTTGCAACGGTCAATCGCAACCTCCGGTTGCGACCCTTCGAGTCCCTTCTCCCTCTCGTATTCTTTCGCCCAACCTCCTCGTGTAACCTCTGTTGACTCGCGTACCCGATACTGTTAAAGTAGCACTAGTCTAGGAGGAAGTGAAAGGAGGCCGCCATGGTTGTGGCGGCGGGGTTTAGCTAGGAGAGTAGGAAAAATGTCGAGAGGAAAGAGGGTTGGATTAGGAAGAGAGAGGAGTACAAGGAGGGGTTTGTACCCTCTACAGAAAAGGTTCAGTAACAACCTATCAAGCCTATATAAATTATAACTTATATAATTTTAACACACCCCCTAGGCTTGGTAGTCACACACCCACCCAACACACCACACACCCCCTAACCTAGCACCCCCATTCCAGCCACAGTGACAGCGACACTAGGTCGGTCGACCCCACGGTGCGTGAGGCAGCGACGTCGACCGCAGGGGCTGCGGCGGCGACGGCGGCAGCGGCGGCAGTGTCGACAGCGGCGGCGGCGGCGGCGTGCGGCTGCGTGGCCCCGACGCAAGCGGCGACAGCGGCGGCGGCGGCGGCTTCGACAACAGCGGCGGCGGCGGCGGCACTTGCACCTCTCGGTGACGTGGCCAGGCCCCGCGACGGTGGGACGGCCGGCGGGAGTCAGCCGTCGGCTGCGGCAAGATACAGGACACAGGGGAAGGGGGGCGGGGCGTGGTCCAGCCTCACGCTTGAGGCTGGCGTGCGGGCAGCAGGTGTGGTGGCGCCATGAACGTCGCGCGGCAAGCTGCCGTCCGACGACGCTGCCACGGCAGCATTACGACGCCGACACATCGCGGCGTCGATGCAGCGGTGGGACGTCGCCGCTGCGACGGTAAGCACGGCGCCGTTACAGCAGTGTGGCGTCGACGCCACGCGTCACGACGCGACGGCACGGCAGGAACGGGCATGGCCGCCACGGCGGCACGGCAGGAAGTCGGAAGGCAGTGAACGAGAACGCAGCGGAAGCACGGAGGGGAGCAGGCCCAGGAAGGACGTCCTGCTCTGAATACCATGTTAAAGTAGCACTAGTCTAGGAGGAAGTGAAAGGAGGCCGCCATGGTTGTGGCGGCGGGGTTTAGCTAGGAGAGTAGGAAAAATGTCGAGAGGAAAGAGGGTTGGATTAGGAAGAGAGAGGAGTACAAGGAGGGGTTTGTACCCTCTACAGAAAAGGTTCAGTAACAACCTATCAAGCCTATATAAATTATAACTTATATAATTTTAACAGATACGACTTTCCTCGAGTGTAGTGTTACTCTTCAGAAACGCTTCAGTCTTCGAGGTATTCCCAACACCATGTATAGCTAGACAAGGGTGCACCGAAATTCAAACAGGTGACATGTTACAGACAACGTGACCAGCAGTACCACGACGATGCAGAGTGATCTGGCAATAAGTGGACAAGCAACAAGCTCTGAGCTGGCGACTGGACTGGAAGTGAACTGTTGGACGTGAACTGTTGGATGTGAACCATTGGATGTGAACCGTTGGATGTGAACCATTGGATGAAACTGCACCCCGAAAAAAGTCACAATAAAGACCGGGTCGATGCAGCAGATGCAGCAGCAGCAGCAGCAGCAGAAGCAGACGTAGAGGAAGTAGCAGCAGCAGAAGCAGAAGTAGAGGCAGCAGCAGCAGCAGAAGCAGAAGTAGAGGCAGCAGCAGCAGCAGCAGCAGAAGTAGAGGCAGCAGCAGCAGCAGCAGCAGCAGCAGCAGAAGCAGAAGTAGAGGCAGCAGCAGCAGAAGTAGAGGCAGCAGCAGCAGCAGCTGCAGCAGCAGAGCCGGCAGCAGAACTCTTCCTCCGTGCACACCTTTCCATCACCAGCAGCAGCAGAACCAGCAGCAGAACCAGCAGCAGAATCAGCAGCAGAATCAGCAGTGGAACCAGCAGCAGCTTCTGCGGAAGCTTCTTCTAGCGCCTTGGCAGCACGAGACGACACCTCTCTGGTTACAGCCAGCAGCAGCAGCAGCAGGAGCAGAATCATTCCTCCTTCCCCACCCTTCCATCAGCAGCAGCACCACTAGCAGCAGCAGAACCAGCAGCAGAACCAGCAGCAGAAAAAGCAGCAGAAAAAGCAGCAGAACCAGCAGTGGAACCAGCAGCAGAACCAGCAGCAGAACCAGCAGAAGAACCAGCAGTGGAACCAGCAGCAGCTTCTGCGGAAGCTTCTTCCAGCGCCTTGGTGGCACGGGACGACACCTCTCTGGTTACCGCCACCACCGTCACCAGCAGCAGCAGCAGAATCACTCCTCCTTCCCCACCCTTCCATCAGCAGCAGCACCACTAGCAGCAGCAGAACTAGCAGCAGAACCAAAAGCGGAACCAGCAGCAGCTTCTGCGGAAGCTTCTTCTAGCGCCTTGGTGGCACGGGAGGAGACCTCTCTGGTTACCAGGACAGTTGCCACCGCCCCCACCACATACAGCCCCACCTGCACCGGATCCAACCTGGATTGGGCAGCGGCAGTAGCAGCAGCAACAGCAGCAGCAGCAGCAGATTTATTCATCCTTGCCTAAGCTTCCATCAGCACTGGCAGCGCTACCAGTGGAAACAACACCAGAACCAGCAGCACCAGCAGCACCAGCAGCACCAGCAGCACCACCAGCACCAGCAGCACCAGCAGAAGCGTCAGCCGCTGCTTCCTCTAGCGCCTTGGTGGCACGGGAGGAGACCTCTCTGGTTACCAGCACAGTTGCCACCGCCCCCACCACATACAGCCCCACCTGCACCGGATCCAACCCGGATTGGGCAGCAGCATTACCAGTTGCGTCGGTAACCGCATCGAGAGCCACTCTCCCCGCCCCCCCCAGGTAGACATAGGCGAAAGTGGCAGGGAGCATGCCGAGGGTCGATGAGAGCACGTACTCGAAAAAGCCTATGCCTGGATTTTGGGGGGGAGCATCCGGGGGTATTGCAAGGGAAGGAGGTGGTTACAACAGCACTGGTAACCGCATCCAGAGCCACTCTCCCCGCTCCTCCCAGGTAGACATAGGGGAAGGGGGAGGCGAAAGGGGGAGGATAAGGGGGAGGTGAAAGGGGGAGGTGAAAGGGGGAGGTGAAAGGGGGAGGTGAAAGGGGGAAGTGAAAGGGGGAGGTGAAAGGGGGAGGTGAAAGGGGGAGGTGAAAGGGGGAGGGGAAGGGGGAGGGGAAGGGGGAGGGGAAGGGGGAGGTGAAAGGGGGAGGGGAATGGGAAAGGCGAAGAGGGAGGGGACGATGCCTATGTCGGTTGTCCTTAGCCCTCCCCTCTCCTCCCCCCCCATTGTCCTGCCCCCCTCGCCCCCGCCCCCCCAATTCCAAGCAGAGAAACCGAAGGAATATTTCTCTGCAGGATGCCTATGCCGGCTGTCCTGCGCCCCTCTCCCCGCCACCACGAATCGCATCTTACCCGTGATTCCGAATACGTAGTTGGAGATCGAAAACGGAAAGATAGGCGATAGTCGACACAGCAGCACGATCCGCCACCCGCCCACCGAGATCGCGCGGTCCAGCGCCTCGAACCGCCCCTCGCCGAGCCGCCCGGCGAGCTGCCGCGACACGAACGGCCGCGCCGCGTATCGCGCGACGAGAAACGCCACCGACGCGCCGAGGGTCGCGGCGATTAGAGTGATCGCCGTGCCGCGCGCGGCTCCGAAGAGGTAACCCGACGCGAGAGTTAGGATGGAGGCGGGGACTAGGAGCACGGCGGCTATGGCGTACGCTGCGGCGAAATAGACGGCGCCGCCTAGCGGCCCGGCCGCATCGCCGCCTTGCTCCACCGCCGCCACGACCTGCTGAAGGGGATTGGTCCACGTGGCGGCCGAAACCGCGTCGCCGCCAGCAACGGCGGTGGCGGTGGCGGCGGCAACGTCAGCAGCGGCGGCGCTATCCGCGTGCAAGACGACAAGAGCCGTCGCCGCGGTGAGCGCGGCGGCCGCTGCGAGGACAGATCGCGGCGCGAAAAGAGGATCCGCCTGTTGGAATAGTGATCTTAGAGAATCCTTCTGGAAATCCTCACGAACTTTCGGGGAAAGTCCTAAGAGATTCTGATCGAGCTGCGTGCGCCGCGAAGACTCATCGGCGCTCCGAGACGCGGAGATCTCGAGGCTATTATCGCGGCTTGTGGAGATACCCGAGTCTGCGGCCGTACTAGCCTCCTGCGAGATTTGAGGCGCCTCGAAACTGCTAAGAGCCACTAGCCCTCTTCGACAGTGTACTGCCGGCCTGGCTTGCCTGCGTTGACTGCATTCGTTTCGTTGACTGCTTATTCTCCGAGGGGAGATTAGGGAGCAGCACTTGGACCGCGAGATAGTTGCATGTGAACGCCTGGTGGTTAGTAGCGTGCTTGGCGTAGCTCCTACTAGCGCGACTGGTAGGGCGGCGGGGAGTGCCATTACGGCCGAATCTCGACACGCAACCACCAATGACACGTAGCTCGATGCCGTGCTGACGACACGTCGCTTCGCGACGAGGCCCCGAAAGCGATAAATATAAGGTAGGACGGGTTGACCTAACTCACATAAGAATTACGATGCAGATACCAGTTCAAGGATGCAGCAGTGCATTCTGAGTACGTCCTTGTCTAACCAGTTGAAGGATGAAGCAGGAGAACTGCGATGCGCAACTCCAGACCAGATTCAGTGAGTGTCTGACGCGTACATCTGATTGAGGTTAGTTGAGGTTCCCTCTGGTTAAGAGAGATCAGACACTTTTTACTACGGTGGGGTATGGTGATCGAGCAGAAGCGTACATTTCGGGGATGTCCTCAAGGTGCAGTAGCAGGAATGCCGAATTCGCAGTTCTCGAGGGCAGCAGTTTAGCGAAGCAGAGAGATATCTAACGATTTCGCGTCGACCTAAGTACACCGCTCCATGCCTAAATCTAAAAGCTCATATTAATGCTGCAAGTACAAATGGAGTAATTCCATCCGACCAAACCATAGCATTTACCCTAACGCCCGGACACTCTAATACAGAAGCATTCTTGAATTATGATCCGCTAGGTTCAACGACATAAGCACACTAAAGAGGGCTTGCCGCCACCTCAAGTATTCCCAATCCAAATAGTGTTTTATGCGAGCAACTATGTCCATAATTTCCTGGGTTATCTCCCATGCCCCTGAGAGACAGTGAGTTGACAACGGGGAGAGGGGAGCGAGGAGGGGGATTGGGGGGGGTAGAGAATTGGAATTTGGAGAGAATGTACTATTTCAGGAAAAGACGAGAGAGTGGAGCTTCTAAAGGAGTGAATGGCAGAAGACTTACGGATTCTGAGCAACAAATGTGCCAAGTCCAGCTGTGCCCTCAGGTAGGCTGCCAGGTTGGATGTTAGGTGGCCTGATTGCATGGGGAAGGGAAGGAGAGGGAGGGTTGAAATGAAGAGTGGGGAAGAGGGGATGGGGGACGTGAGTTGTGAACGAGATCTAGTTTCGCAGGTCCAGCTCCCCCTGATGTAAGCAGCCAAAAAACGAAAGCTTGCCCCGTTGATATGCAGCCTCAGCTTGGGCAAGCATCAGCCTGCCCTGCCCTGGCACGACCTTCCTCAGAGTGCTTGTGCACAATGATTAGCCTTCTCGGACAGCCCTACCTTCCTCGGAATGCCGCACCGCCAGCCCAGCCACGGCGAACCGCCCGTTGATCTGCAGCCGCAGCTTGGGCGTGGCTCCCAGCGCTGTTATGTGCTGCCGGATCAGGTTGCTGGGTCGGGCACAGAGGCAGCACAGGGCAAAAGAGGCGGGTTTCAAGAGCCAACTCAAGAGTCTCAGTGGTGGCTCCCAGCGCTGTTATGTGCTGCCGGATCAGGTTGTACCTGCACAGGGGTGGGGAGGGCATGAGAGGATGGAAGAACGGGCTTTGAAGCTTGAGGGCTTCAAGTTGGGCGTGGCTGCCACCACTCTAACGTGTTGCCGAATCAGGTTGCTGGGACGGGCACAGAGGCAGCCAAGGGGAGGGAGTGCGGTAGGGCAGAGGAGGGCGGTAGAGGAGGGGAGGGCGGTGGGGGATGGAAGACACGGTCAGCGTGAGAGCCTCCGCTAGGGCATGGCTCCCAGCGCTGTGATGTGATGTGATGTGCTACCGGGTCAGGTTGCAGTTAAGAAACAAAAGCACAGAGGCAAACGAGTGGAGTTACGAAACAAGTGATCCAGCTCGAGGGCTGTGGTGTGCTGGGCGCAGGGCTGTGGTGTGCTGGGAACATGTCATTTCTAGTGAAAAACTGTAAGACTCACTCGGTGCGCATCACCCCTAACATGTCCTGCGGCAGCCCCCCACTGCCGCTGTCAGGTCTTTCGGGCTGATGGCTTTGATCTCCCTCTCCCACACAGGCTCACACACTCACAGCCCCGAGTTTATTCAAAACTCACTCGGTGCGCATCACGAGGAACATGTCCTTGGGTAGCCCCTCCACCACCGCCGTTAGGTCCTGCGGGCTGATGGCTTTAATCTCCTTTCTTAAGCTCTTCTCCTCCTCTGGCGACATGCGCTGCCCCCACCGCGTCTTGCTGTGAAGAGACAAGGGAATCAGACAGGGAAGAGACGAGAGGTACCAAGTCCCGACTGCTGTCAGTCAGGTCCTGTGGGCTGATGGCTTTAATACCTCCTTTCTCAACCTCTTTTGCTCCTCTAGCGACAGCTCTTTCTCAGGAAGAGAGGAAAGGGATGGAGAGAGGGGGGAAATGGTGGAGTGGGAGGAAGAATCAGAGGAGTCACGCTAAGTTTGAGGCGCCTAAAAAATAGACTCCTCACGCTAAGTGGGTTTTTGAGAATTCTCAAAAACCTGGTCACTGGTCAGAGAGGGGGAAAGGGGGGAGGTGGTGGAGTGGGAGGAAGGAAGACAGAGGAGGAAGGAAGACAAAGGAGTCATACGCTGGCGCGGCTGCGGGCACAAGTCAATTCTACACTCAAAGGCTCTCCCCCTACTGCTGGAACTCTCCCATGCAGTTAGAATGAGTGAGCGCCAGAGCTGGCAGACCCCCTTCTCATACTCACCTTTGGAAGGGTCGTGCAGTAAACAGTGCAGGGAGGAACCGAGAGTACTCCCCAACGCCCAGCCTCTCCCCCCACCGCTGCACCCCTCCCATGTCCGACAGAATGAGCGATCGCCAGAGCTGGCAAAAATCGTTGCGGAAGGAGTCGTCCATTTCTCGGTACAGGCCATGGTCCAGCAGCACTGCCGGGGGGGTGAGGGGAGAACATTTTTGAGGCGCCTCAAAAATAGATTTCTTGGTACAGGCCATGGTCCAGCAGCACTGCCGGGGGGGTGAGGAGGGATGGAGAAGAGGAGGAGGAGAGAGGAAGGAGATGAGGAGGAGAGAGGGCGGGAGAAGGTGGACAACAACGAGGTGGCCGTGTTGTTGGCCGTGACAACAACGAGGTGGCCGTGTTGTAGGCAGTGACAACAACGAGGTGGCTGTGTTGGTGGCCGTGACAACAACAGCAGCAAGGGAGTGACCACAAATGAGCGCCGAGTGGCATAAGTCGAGTTTTGAGGGACCGCAAAACTCGCCGCGCAGGAGGCCATGGCAGAAGATTGAGAAGCAGCTGTCTTGAGAAGAAGAAGATGCGACTCCCCAATGTCCAAGTTGCGGCGCCCCTGACTTGTGCTGCCTGGCGCGTGTGCCTGGATGAGCACATTGCCCAGATGTGGGTCGCTGTGCAGATCAGTCCCCAGTCAAATCAAAGGTCAGAGGTGAGTCAGACTCACCAATATCGAGATTACGCCGTTCGGTCCGCACTTTGAAGACCCAGGCCCGTGTGCCTGGATAAGCACGTTGCCCGGGCGAGGGTTGCTGTGCTAGAGTCTTCATTTCCCCACGGGCGAAAAAAGAACCGCCACTCACCAGTATCGAAATTGCGGTGCCCCTTGCTTGTGGCGCAACACTCACCAATGTCAAAGTTGCGGCGCCCCTGTTTTTGAGGCGCCTTAAAAAGAGTTGCGGCGCCCCTGTTTTTGAGGCGCCTCAAAAAACGTTGTGGCGCCCTGACTTGGTGGCGCCCGGTGCCCCTGACTTGGATGAGCACGTTGCCCCAGTGGAAGAAGATTCGGAGGCTCGCTCACCGATATCAAAGTTGCGGTGCCCCTTTCTTGTGGCGCCCGGTGCATGCGCCTGGATAAGCACATTGCCGGGGTGTGGGTCGCCGTGCAGGTGGCCGTGGCAGAAGACCATCTCCGCAAACACTTCCACTAGCAGCGCTGCCACCTGATGGGGGGGCCGGGGTGGGGGGTTGGGGGTGGGGGGGGGGAGATGAGGAAAAGGGAGCAGATGTCGCTGTGCAAGTGGCCGTGGCAGAACACCATCTCTGCAAACACCTCCACCAGCAGCGCCGCCAGCTGATGGGGGGGGGAGGAAGCGGAAGCAGGCTCGGGGCCCGTGGCCTTGAGAGGGGAGGGCAGCAGGTGACACTGTGCAAGTGACTATACCGTGGCAGAGGGTAATCTCTGCAAACACCTCTACAAATCCATTCAAGGCCGAGAAAGAAAAGGAAAAAACCGCCTTTTTTTTTTTTGCAAAACCTCCAGAGGGTTGAGGCCCTGCTTCTTGATTCCCTCGAACCAAGTCATTGATCCGCGGGGAGGTGCCGTGCCACCAATCTGATTGGATCACCTGGTGCTGTGCTGTGCTGTGCTGTGATCTTCACCAGGCATGCTCTGCTCACCTCCAGAGGGTTGAGTCCCTGCTTCTTGATCCCCTCCAAGTCGTCGATCTGAATGGCAGCGACGACAGCCCGGCCACCCTTTCAAGTTTCACATCCCTGTGAAGGAAAAAGCCAGGCATGCTCTGCTCACCTCCAGAGGGTTGAGTCCCTGCTTCTTGATCCCCTCCAAGTCGTCGATCTGAGGAGGAGCGGGGAGAGGGAGAAGGCGGGCTGTTAGACACTGGTGGTTGGTGCGGCACACGCTGGTGAGAAGTGAGGGCACAGGGCGGGGGGGGAGGGGGGGGGGGGGGGTTAGAAGGAGAAGGAGGGGGATGTGAACAGCAGGAGGGGCTGTTACTGGTGGTTGGTGCGGCACACGCTGGCGAGAACTGAGGGCACGGAGCGGGGGAGAAGGAGAAGGAGGGGGTGTGAACAGCAGGAGGAGCAGGGAGAGGGAGAAGGAGGGCTGTTAGATACTGGTGGGTGGTGCGTCACACGCTGGTGAGAACTGAGGGCACGGGGGGGGGGGGGGAGAAGGAGAAGGAGGAGCAGGAGGAGGGAGAAGGAGGGCTGTTAGATACTGGTGGGTGGTGCGGCACACGCTGGTGAGAATCGAGGGCATGGAGGGAGGGGGGGGGGAGGGGAGAGTGAGACGGAGCCTGTAACGTGTAGCACGTAGCGCGCAACATGCAGCAAGTAACATCTAGCACGTAAAATGTAACATGAAGCATGTAACATGTGAGACGACAGGTGTGGAACGTACCTTGCAGCCGTTCATAAACTCCATGGTCAAAACTCTCCTGGTGGTGTAGTCCTGGCGGTGGGAAAGCGGGAGACAGAGAGGGGAGCAGAGAGGGGCGCAGGAAGGGGGCACAGGGAGGGGCACAGGGACACAAAGGGCGGAGCAGGGATCTGTACGTGTGTGCATGCATCGATGGCACGCCTTGCATCCGCTCATACACTCCTGGTGAAGCGAGTCAGGACTTCACCACCAAGCGGTGCATGAATCGATGTGTTCTGTTTTCGAGAATTCTCAAAAACAAAACACACCTTGAATCAATTTATGTGGACTCCCTTGGTGGCGAAGTCCTGGCGGTGGGGAAGCAGGAGATGCAGAGGCGATTTGCTTACACCACTGATTCTCAGCAATATCGGCGATAAAGGCGGTATGTCTGTGTGACTGAACTGCTGTTGTTCAAAGACCTATTCGAAAACCTATTCACGCTCCTGCGTGATGCTCACAGACCTATTCATCCTCCACACACAAACCGCGTGATAGAAGTCTAGTTTTGAGGCGCCTCAAACCTAGACTTCTATCACGTGGTGTGTGTGTCAAACCTATTCATCCTCTACACATAAGGTAAGGACCCAAAATACACACAAACTATGTGTTCTAGGGTCCTTAAACCTATAAGGTAAGGAACCTCAAACCTATTCATCCTCCACACACAAACTAGTCCGGCTGCATGAGAGAACTAGGTCAATGTATTCTGAGTCGACTCAAAATACACCTGATAGAGGCAGTACGTCTTGGTGATCGATGAACAACTAGTGTTGTTCAAACACCTACTCATCATCCACACACAAATTAGGGCGGCTGCATGAGAGAGCCACGATGTGTTCCGTTTTTTAGAATTCTCCACGGACTACATCCTAGCCTTACACTCCCGCGTGTTGTTCAAAGACCGGCATCTAGCCTCTGGCATCTAGCCTCTGGCCTCTGGCATCTGGCCTCTGGCCTCTGGCATCTGGCGTCTGGCCTCAAGCCTCAAGAGTCTGGCCTCTGGCCTCTGGCGTCTGGCCTCTGGCCTCTGGCGTCTGGCGTCCGGCCTCTGGCCTCTGGCCTCTGGCATCTGGCCTCTGGCCTCTGGCGTCTGGCGTCTGGCCTCTGGCATCTGGCCTCTGGCCTCTGGCCTCTGGCGTCTGGCCTCAAGCCTCAAGAGTCTGGCCTCTGGCCTCTGGCCTCTGGCCTCTAGCCTCTGGCCTCTGGCCTCTGGCATCTGGCCTCCAACCTCCACTCAAGAACTAGTGCCGCTGCATGAGAGAACTAAGTCAATGACATGCATACACGCACAAGTAATCATCACCATTGACCCACACCACACACTGTCTTGGACACTAACACACCCCACCCACCCACCCGCATAAAATGGCTCAATTGCAGCACAGGCATATCTGACCCACAGAACCTTGGGTACTTTGACCTCCCCCTAGTTCACAAACATACCCGCATAAAATGACTCAACATCAGCACATCCACCACCACTGACCCACAGGATCTTGGGCACTTTGACCTCCTCCTTGTGTGCAAAGTTCTCCGCTGTGATCTCTGCATTGCGCCCCTCCTTCTCGAAGTCTAGCCAATGCAAAAAAGTGAAGGGGAAGGGGGAAAGAGGGGGAGGGGGTTGGCGGGGGGAAGAGGGGGGTGGGGGGGGGGGGGGTACGAATTAGGGGATCGACCAGCGATGGCACTTTGGCCTCCTTCTTGTGAGCAAGGTTCTCCATTGTCAGCTCCTCATTGCGCCCCTCTTTCTCAAAGTCTGACGTTTAAGTGCCATGACAAAAGTGTAGGGTAAGGGGAAGGGCGAAACAGGGGCGGGGAAGGGGGGGGATATATTGGGAGCAGCCAGGGGTTGGTTGGTATCAAGTTCTCCGCGGTGATCTCTGCCTTGCGCCCCTCCTTCTAAAAGTCTGGCAGTCAGCAGTCACGAAGGCGTCAAGACGGGAAGAAGCGGAGGGGGTGCGGTGCGTGAGTCTGAGAGGGATAAGGGGAGCAGGCAGCGAAGATAGATCCAAGTTCCCTGTTGTGATCTCAGCATTACGCCCCTCCTTCTCAAAGTCCGACCGTTGAATTCATGACATCAATAAACGGTAAGGCATGGCGGTGATGTGGAGGGGAGAGGCGGGGGAGAGATTGTAAGGGAAAAATGGAGCAGAAGCTAGAAGTAGCATTAAGTGCTCTCTTGTGACCACAGCAGTGCGTCCCTCCTGCGCCTCTCCTCCGAATTACAGGGATAAGGACGTGGCATTCCAGGGATAAGGACGTGGCATTACAGGGATAAGGACGTGGCATTACAGGGATAAGGACGTGGCATTACAGGGAAAATAAGGAATGGAGGAGAGGGACATACCTAATTGCTGCTGAAGGTTCTCCTGGAACTGGGGAACGATCCAGCTGAACTGGTAGTTGGGGAATACCTGGTGGATGGGCCAGGGATGCAGGGGTAGCAAGGGAGACGGGCAGTGCAGCGGGTGAATGATGCTGCGCCAAACCAGGCCTGCAAGGTTCTCCTGAAACTGGGGAGCGATCCAGCTGAACTGGTGGTTAAGAAAAATCTGATGGACGAATAGGAGATCAGCAACAGGTGAACAATGCAGCAAGGGAGCGGAGCAAGGTTGCCTTGGAACTCTAAAACTGAGGCACAATCCTGCAGAACTGGTAGATTGAGCATGTCTGATGGACAGGCCAGGGATGGGCCGGGGGATTTTTGAGTCGACTCAAAAATCACCTGCGGATATTGTCACACGAGACATTTGAAGATCGGCGTGCTATTATCGCGTGGAAGCTTCCGAAGCGTACAGGGGATTTTTTAGTTTCAGCTAGAAAATGTTAGGTGTAGCTACACTTATTCCATTTTTTCTAGCCTAGGTTTCGACTCCGAGAATTCCCTCGAGCCGCATTTTGGCCTTGGGATACTCGCGAGCTCCTGCCTATTTAGTCTTGCTCGTTTACTCTTTGTGTATGGTCTGATGAAGGCAGCCACCTGCCGAAACTAGTTACCATCAATTTTGACCCTACGATTTCAAGAGACTTTTTCTGAGCAAGAATTTTTCTCAAAAAGACAAAAGTGTTCTACAAGCCCGCTGCCACGTATGGCTAAAACCACCACCAAGTGGTGCTCTCTCTGTCTGATGGACAGGCCAGGGATGGGCCGGGGGATGAGCCACGGATGGGTCGGGGATGGGCCGGGGAAGCAAAGAGGGGTGCAAACAGGGTTTCAGGCAGCAAGCGAGAGGGAGGGGCAGCAAAGGAAAACAAGGGAGTGCAGCAAGGAATAGAAGCAGCAAGGAATCATGCACGCACCCACTCACTCGCAAATCAGCACGCGCGAAGAACTGATGACTGGGCGTCAAGGCTTGTGCCCCTCACCACCACACCTTAATGTTTTTTAGTCGACTCAGCTTAAGAGTCGACTCAGCTTAAGAGTCGACTCAGCTTAAGTGTCGACTCAGCTTAAGTGTCGACTCAGCTTTTGAGTCGACTCAAAAGCACGCGAGATCTAATGACTGGGCGACAAGGCTTGCGTCCCTCACGAGACCTTTTGTGACCAAGGCTAGAAACGGTTCAAGACTCACCACTTGACCGCCCATGAAAGGAAGCTCAGCCCACCCATGGTGTAGATGTGAGTGGCAGGCAGGCACTGTGGCACCTTCACACCAGAAGATACTGAAGGAACTAGCTTTGATACAACAGATACAGCTCAAGCCCCTAAGAGGCGCCCCAGTACCCGGCAACGCCACTCACCCACTTGACGGCTCGAGAGAGGAAGCCCATGGTGGAGATGTCCGTGGCCACTTGCTCCTCCAGGCGCGGGTACTGCACCTGAGAGGGGGGGGTGGGAGAGACAGAGAGCGAATGCATGTGAGAGTGAAAGGCAGGGGATGGGGGGGAGAGAGGGAGCAGATAGCTCGGGACAGGAAGCCCATGGTGGAGATGTCCGTGGCTACCTGCTCCTCCAGGCGCGGGTACTGCACCTGAGAGGGCGATAGTGAGGGAGAAAGGGGATAAGGGGATGGGGGCACGCAGAGAGAGAGTTGAGAGCCCGGGAGAGGAAGCCCATGGTGGAGATGTCCGTGGCCACTTGCTCCTCCAGGCGGGGGTACTGCACGTGAGAGGGGGAGAGTGGGAAAGAGTGTGCGTGTGTGAGGGTGGGTGAGTGCTTGTGTGTATGTGGTGGAATGTCCGTTGCCGCCTGCTCCTCCAGACGGGCCGCGAGAGTGTGGTGGAGGCCAGGCCTCCAGGAGGAGAGGCTGGAGAAGGTGCATCACATGCATCGCTTGGGTGAAGGTGATTGTATGAAGGTGCTTGGGTGAAACGCGCTCGTACACAGCACCACCTCGTTTCACTCGTGAAGCACACACACATGCATCACATGCATGATGCATCACATGCCCAAACCAAGTAACCATACAGTAAGAGAGGGCACCCACCTTCACAGCCACTTCCTGCCCTGAAGGCAGTGTTGCTCGATGCACCTGAGCCAGCGATGCCGCTGCTATGGCCTCCTCCTCAAAATGCACAAAGCTGTAAGAGTGGAAGTGTTAAAAAGAAACAGAAGGGGGGGGGGGGAGGGGAGGGGAGAGGAGCCGACACAAAGAGGATTGTGGAGTTTGGGTTAAAGATTTCCATCACAATGGCCTTCTTTCCAAGCTGAGCAAGGTCAGCGCAACACCGCGGGGAGGAAAACAGAGGGAGACATTGGGGCACCGCGACAGACAGACAGACAGACAGGCATCGGGTTTTACTGAATCATCTCAGAGCCCACAGCTCGAGTGTGGAGAACGAATTTGGAATGCAATCGAAAAAACCGGGAGGACACAAGGCATTCTTTCTGCAGCAGCAGACACAAGGCCTTTGTAATACTCACATCTCCTTCGCACTCTTTCCGAATTCCTCCTTAAAAACCCGGTCAATAACATTGAAGGGCCGACCGCGAGCCTGCAGAGCACAGATCAGCCATAGCAGATGGGGAGGGAACTCGAGGGTGAAAGGAGGTGTTGGAGGAGGGTGAATGGCAGCACAGCAAGCGTGGCGCAGTTTCCCTACGAGCTTGAAATCCAATGCTTGGATACTGCCGAGCCAAGGCGCTAACTGTAACGCAGGTTGGGGATGCTGCAACGCTCCTGCCCGCATAGCAGCAGGCGTAGCACAGTATCCCAAAAAACAGCATCAGCACTCCCATCCCCACTATTTGCATCCCCTATTCTGTATTCTACCTTTACCTGATGATACCAGGTCCTGAGTGAGTGAGGGTGCGGTATTGGCACACACCATGACTTTTGAGTCACTGCGGTTATAACGTCTCGTTACCTGCTACTTGTTAAAACGAGAATTAACAGAGGTCGCAGCAGAATTCCGTGTGTACATCTAAGGAACGCTTCAGTGGTAACACTGGTAAAAGCCACTATAACACCCCAACTGCACGATGCAGAGACGTTTTAGGGTCTGGAAGGTGAAAACATGCCCAAAAGCACCTATCTCCTACTTTGCCATCGTGAACACGAAGCTCCTATCCACAACTCTGCTTTCACCGCCAGGTGCGGTGAGCGAGGATTCCAGGTGCTCCACTTTTATGGAACCACCGCTAGCGTGCTGGACCAACAAAGATCAAGTTATGAGGATTAAAGCCCAAGTCCCAGAGCAAATCTCCGGACATGATTCCAGTGAGCGCGGTTAGGAAGACGGTTTAGCAAGTAGGAAAGACAGTGTGAACATGCTCTTGCTTAGGTAACTAAGAGTATTAGGAAATCAGGAGCTCTTCTATTAACAGCGAAGGTAACATGGGACAAACATGTATCGACTGCAGGGAAATCCCTGGCGAGCCTTCATTAGTGTCAACTTGGTACTTGAGCTTAATCCTCATAACTTGATTTTCGTTGCTCGAGCACGCTGGCGGTGGGTCCATAGAAGTAGAGCACCTGAAATCCTTGCTCACCGCACCTGACAGTGAAACTGGAGTTGCGGATGGGAGCTTCGCGTTCACGATGGCGAAGTAAGAGATGGGTGTTTTTTGGTCGTTTTTTATCTTCCAGACCCTAAAACGTCTCTGCATCGTGTGGTTGCGGTGTTACAGTGGCTTTTTTACCACTAATGCACACACGCAATTCCGCGGCAACCTCTGTTAATTCTCGTTTTACCCAGTGGGTAGCGAGGCGTTAAAACCGCAGTGGCTCTTTTCATGAGGCAGCATCGCCAGTCCCATCCCCTCTATTGGCATCCCATCCTCTATAGTGAACTGCCCCGCCTTGATGTAGATCCCACACAGCCTCCCAACCCCTTTCCCCCAATCCTTCGTACCCCACCGTATCCTTCAGCCCACCTGATCCTGCAGCACAGTGAGGGTTGTGCGGTATTCCCGGGGCAGCTGCTGTAGCGTTGCGATGAACTGCCCCGCCTTGATGGAGATGCTGCACAATGGCTCGCAAACCCCCTATCACCCTTACCCCACCTCATCCCTCGTTCAGTTCAGCCCACCTGGTCCTGCAGCACGGTGAGGGTCGTGCGGTATTCCCGAGGCAGCTGCTGCAGCGTTGCAATGAACTGCCCCGCCTTGATGTAGATGCCCCGATTCGCCTCACACAGCCGCAGGATCCTGTCCGCACTTCGCTGGTGGATCTGAGGGGAGCAGGAAGACAACAGAAGAATTTCAACTGGAGAAATCGACAGCGCTTTTTAGCCTTGCAAAAGCCCAGAAACTTGCCGGCTGGCCGCTCCTCAGCTCATCGCTGTGGGCCTGAACAAGGGGCCGAGGGATGGATAGTTCCAGTGGCCGTTTCTTTATCCAACTGCTGCAGCCATTTCATACCTCTCTCGGTCTAAAGAATCAATATTCTTTGCCTAAGCGTTCTGGTGACTGGTCGCGAATGCCATTGATCGAAGCTACCATGGGGACCGGCTGGCTGGGGAGCCAAACAAGGGAAACGCGACTCACCTCCTACCGTATTCTCGCGTATTCTGCCGCCGCTTCCTTCTTGAGCCTATCCAGAGAGTTCGCTACCATCGACACATTGTGGTAATAATCGGGTTTTGGGAAGTCTCGGGACCTCACTGAACAACGCTCAGTAGAAGGTGGCTCACCTCTGACCGTATTCGCGCGTATTCTGCTGGCGCTTCCTTCTTCAGCCTGTCAAGAGAATTTGCCACCGCTGACACCTTGTAGTCGATGCTGTTTATAGCGAACTGCGGACGGGAGGGAAACGGAGCGAACGAGGAACACAGTGAACAGGTCAGGTTGCAAAAGAAACCCCTTTCCAACACTCCATCCGCTCTCTGCTCTCTGTGAATCGAGCTACTGGCTTGGGATCGGACGGCTCTCCTCTCCTCTCTCACCGTTCCAACGGCTCTTGACGATCGGACAATCCCATCGGCACTAAGCACCAGCCGCTTAACATGCCGGCTGTCCGTCTTCAGGCCGCCGTCTGTCACGGCGACAGCCGCTCCGCCGGCACCCAGGCTTCCCAGCACGAGCGCTCCGACCATACCGGCCGGCCTCTTAGCGAGCTGCAACGCTCCTCGTCTTAAAGTGGACAACATAGTCACCTAAGAATCAGAATTCAGATGCTGAGGTGTACCCCACGATTCAGAAATCCGATGCTGAGGTGGTCCCCTACGATTCGAAATTCAGATGCTCACGTGTACCCTACACGCGCCTCGTCTTAGAAGCCTGAAGTTGCGAGCACCCTGCGATTTAAAGGCCTGTAGTGCGGCTTCTCTGCGATCGAGATGAGAGGACTGCTAGGACTAAAAAGGTCGGTTGACTCATACAACTCAGACACTGAGGCTACTAGAGACAAATCGAGCTGCAAAGAGGCGATTGATTGACAGGAACGAACGGAAGGTGTACACTACTGCGGCTAGTTGATAAAACGAAAACCGCGGGTTGTAACTAGGCGGACAGGATCCCGTACATCGCAGTAGCGGCTACCTCAAACAGCCCCGACCCAAGTTGATCAGCCACAGGAGCATGAACCATGGAGTATTGGCCACCGAAGACAAGTCCAAGTTTCTCCTGATCCTAGCATCCCTTTCTGGTGCTGAAGGCTGCTGCTGAGGGGTGGGCTATACTCCATATAAGTTCTATACCCACTTCCTGACCAAAAGAAATTGCAGTGTAGACTGTATCAGGTGAAATACAGTTCTGAAGGTGCATTAGGGCGCGTCATTTTAGTGCACGTGGGTATCGATTCAAGCTCGATCACCACTTGTGCAGCATACACCCCGCCTCGCCTCGCACAGTGACGAAAAAAGGTAACATTTTCGCTCTCAACTTTCAATGTGTTTCCGTGAGAGTTCGCTCGCTCAACAAATCATGTAACCCTACTTGGGTATCGGTCTCAGACCGATGCTTGATCGATGCCAGCATCGGTCATTCTGCCGATGCCCACAAATACACGCCAAAAATGACGGCCCCTATCTTCCTGTATCGCTGGAGAATCTGTGGGAGGAAGGAAACGGATTGGTCGCATAATCGTGTCGGCGTGGCATGGAAAGATCGAAGACAATACAGTATCAGCGTGACTGTAACGCGGGGTAAACTCCAATGTTCGGGCGAGCCTTGGAGTTCTGCTGGCCGCGTTGCATCAGGTGCAAGATCAGGGGGATTTGATGAAGAGCCGCTGCGAATTATTGTACCACACCTCACCGCACTATGACGTTTTGCACCATCTATAACCCTGGTATCGTAAACGAGGCTCATTTCTCAAACTCAACCCTGCAGGAAGTGCATCTAACTCTAGCCCTTCCAGTAGTCCTTCCAAATTCTGGTAGTGAATCCCACCCTCCCAGACCAATCAGTACAGCAAGAAATCTACGTAAAGGCTCTCCAGGGCAGCAATACAGTAATACTAAAATCTTCATCTCCACTTCTCCGCTACTCATCCATCAGGGCTTATTGAGCTATTTTACGGCTTTCTTGTTCAGCCATTAACAACCTCGTGGCAGATTTCTTGTTTCCACAGCTATCCTGCAAATATTTCCGTTCCAGCCATGGCTGGACTCGCTTCCCGTCAACTCGTTACCCTACCTGCTTCCAGCCAGGCTTCCGAGCCATTAAGAAAGGTTCGTGTATCTTGTCATCTTGTTCCCTTCTCGTTATAGTGGTCAAATTTTGCTCGTTATAATACTGAATCTCCCTTCCTTTGCATCCTATGCAGGCGAACACCTCGCTCTCGTCTCCCCTCGTTGCCTTTCCGAAAACATCTCGAACGCGAGTCTGCTCAGTCAGATCCGGCCGTCCATCTGTGCGGGCCGAAGCATCTCCATCGTCCCAGCCAGGTAACCCGCACAAGCAGTCACCCCAATTTTTTAATCATATTCATATCGAACGTCCTTGGAACGTTAACACCCGTATGGAATGCGCTTTTCTTTGTTTTTTTACACAACGAGCAGTCTTACGCGGTAGAGTGAGCTTACACTCGTGGCCTTCCCTTGCTTCTCCGTTTGCATTGCAGCTCCCGTGGTTGTTGCGTCCGCATCAGCAGCACCAGCAGCAGAAGAAGAGGCGCAAGCACGGCGCAGCAGCAGCCGAAACCGAAGCAACACCACCTCAACCACCACCACCAGCAGCGATGGCACAGCTACCTTTTCAGCCGGCGAACAACTCACCTCGTCAAAAGCCGTGTCGCTCGAACTCACAGGAGGCTCTCTAGGCTTCGCTGGAGCGACAACGCCGTTAGTCCCTTCGTCGAAAGCCAAGGCGAAGGGCCTGCAGAAGCGCATTGTGCTGATCCGGCACGGGCTGAGCTCGTGGAACGCGGAGGGGAGGGTGCAGGGCCGGTCGGACGAGTCTGGTCTGACGGTGACTGGGGAGGTGCAGGCGCTGAGGTGCCGAGAGGCGCTGAGGGATTCTCCCTTCGACTGCTGCTATGCCAGCCCCATCTCGCGGGCTAAGGTGAGGAGTGTGGGATGGGGAGAGGTACAGGTGAGCAGTGAACGAGGAGGGGAGAGAGTAGAGTCCCAGGACCGGTCGGACGAGTCCGTTCTGACAGAGGCTGGGGATATGAGATGCAGGCGGCGGGGGGCGGGGTGCAGGGGAGTGCATGAGGGTGCTCTCTCCTGGCTATGATGCTTCTGTTCTGGGGTGCCTCTAATTTCCTCCGCCCACACTTCCCATATCCCCTGCGCCCAGCAGAGCAGTTTTGAGATCATCTGGGAGTGGCGCAAGAAGCCTCTGGTGTTTCTGACTGTCGGAGACCCTTCTGCTCTGCCCATTCCGCTGCCACACTTACGCCCTGTGCCCACCAGCGCAGCGCAGAGATCATCTGGGAGGGGCGCAAGGAGCCTCTCGCGTTTCTGCAGTCTCAGGGGCTGTTTGCCTCAGTTTTATCCGTTGCCCGCTTCCCCCTCAACATCCCCCCCCCCCCTCACACACACACACGCCTCCCGTACTCCCTGTGCCCACCAACACAGCGCAGAGATAATCTGGGAGAGGCGCAACGCGAGGAGCCTCTTGTGTTTCTGAGCTCTCGTTTGCTGTTCCGTCTGTCATGCTTGCGCTGCCTCTCATTTGTTGCCTCCACTCCCCCTATATTTCCCCCCTACCCCCTGCGCCCACCAGCGCAGCGCAGAGATCATCTGGCAGGGGCGCAAAGAGCCCCTCGTGTTCCTGGACTCTCTAAGTGAAGCCCACCTGCATTTTCTGGAAGGCATGCTCAACTGTGAGTGGCGGGGTGCTGGTGGGGAGGGGCTAGGTTTTGGCAGGGTTTGTCGGCAGAGATCATCTGGGGCGGGCGCAAGGAGACCCTCGTGCTCCTGGACTCTCTAAGCGAAGCCCACCTGCACTTCCTGGAAGGCATGCTCAGCTGTGAGTGGCGGGGTGCCCGTGGGAGGGGCTGAAGGGTAGAAGATACAGGCATTGTGCATGCCTGTGATTATACTTGCCTTTTTTAGCGAAGCCCACCTGCACTTCCTGGAAGGCATGCTCAACTGTGAGTATATCATATTTCTTACAAGATACCTGTGATCTCCTGCTGGTACTTATGGCCACAACGATATTTTTTTAGGGGGGGCTGTTTGCACTATCCTCGGAGCATTGGTGGGGACATCCTGCCAATAGTCATGAAATCTTGCCATCACACGGCTCATACCTCTCTTGAGGCATGGCCCGTTACCCGATGAAGTCCCAGTCACACAGCCTTTCTGGTATGGATGCTCTTCTTCTGACCCATCTGCCTCTCTTCTTCCCTTGCTTCTCTCCCCCTGATCGGACCTGCCCTTCCCTTCACTGCTGAACCTCCAGCCGAGGCTAAGCGGCTGTATCCGGACCTGTTCCGAGCCTGGCGGGAAGACCCGGCGAACTTCTGTGTGGATGGGGTGTATCCGGTGCACCAGCTGTGGGACCAGGCCAGGGACACGTGGCGAGAGCTGCTTGAGAGCCCAGTGAGTGTGACTGTAGGGATTATTACTGTAGTGTCTGGTGCTATATCGAGTATTGTTTCTTTCTAGAGTAGATGGGGTGTGCCTGGTGCACCAGCTGTGGGATCAAGCCAGGAACACGTGGAGAGAGCTGCTAGAGAGCCCAGTGAGTGTGACTGTATCGAACATTGCTGTAGTGGGCGGTACTTCATCAAGCAGTTCTTTCTGATTCAATGTGGATGGGGTGTGTACGGTGCACCAGCTGTGGGACCAGGCCAGGGACACGTGGAGAGAGCTGCTAGAGAGCCCAGTGAGTATCACTGTACTGAGTGGTGCTAAAGCGAGTATCATTTTATTCTTTAGTGGATGGGGTGTATCCAGTGCACCAGCTGTGGGACCAGGCCAGGGACACGTGGAGAGAGCTGCTGGAGAGCCCAGTGAGTGTGACTGTAGTGGGTGTTACTGTAGTGAGTGGTGCTACATCGAGTTATCTTTTCTTCTAAAGTGGATGGGGTGTGCTTGGTGCACCAGCTGTGGGATCAGGCCAGAGACGCATGGAGAGAGCTACTAGAGGGCCCAGTGTGTGTGACTGTATCGAATATTACTGTAGTGAGCATTACTTTATCGAGATTTTTTTTTCTGCACTGGTGTGGATGGGGATGGGGATGGAGCATTACTGGTGTGGATGGGGTGCATCCCGAGCACCAGCTGTGCCATCAGGCCAGGGACACGTGGAGAGAGCTGCTGGGGAGCCCAGTGAGTGTGACTGTAGGGATTATTACTTATAGTGAGTGATGCAAAAACGAATATTATTTATTTCTGGAGTAGATGGGGTGTGCCTGGTGCACCAGCTGTGAGATCAGGCCAAGAACACGTGGAGAGAGCTGCTGGAGAGCCCAGCGAGTGTGACTGTAGCGTGTTTTATTGCAACAAGTGGAACCATATTGTGTCCTTTGTTCTGTAGCAACAAATTGCACTCATACCCGTCATCATTTCGCGACAGTGTTTTTGTTCCTCCTTTGACTCCAGGGCTCTCAAATGATGGTGGTGGTGGTCACAGCAGATAGTTGCTGGTGGTGGTCGCACACAACTCTCTGCTGCGAGCCCTTCCCTGCGCCCCGCTCTCAAGCCCCCTAACCGCCTGCTCGTGGCCCTTCCTCTGCTCCCTTCCCTCTTCCCTCCATCCGTCCTCCGAGCAGGGCTCTCAAGTACTGGTGGTAACTCACAAGTCCCTTCTGCGAGCTCTGCTCTGCACCGCTCTTGGCATGGGCCCAGACAAGTAAGAGGCTTTCTCTCATGTGGATTTTCAGTCAACTCGAAATACACCTTTTGAGTTGACGCAAACTGCGAGCTCTGCTCTGCACTGCTCTTGGCACGGGCCTGGACAAGTAAGAGGCACTGTCGAAGAAGGGGCCTTGCGGGGCACTGCTTATGGAAATCCCCCGCCCAGGATTTCAGATTCTGCCGAATCTTGAGATGGGCCTTGTGTGAAAAAACGTCTCACAAGGATGCCTCACTTTTAGCATTTTGCACCCAGAACGTTTTGCATATGTGTCTAGTACAGCGTTCACAAGATCTTGCTCTGCTTTCCTTTTCTCACCTTGCTGCCTCCCATTCCTTGCTGCTTTCCTTTCTCTGATCACGTCTCACCCCTCCCCATTTTAATTTCCTACCAGGTTCAGAGCCCATGGACGTCAACGGTGGGGGCATGTGTGGTGATGGTTACTTGCCCGGTTCTCATCGTTTGCCCCCCCCTTCCCCAATATACACGTCTTTCTGCTTCCCTTCCCCCATCTCCATTTCCTGCCAGGTTCAGAGCCATGGACGTCAGCAATGGGGGCATGTGCATGGTAATGGTTGACTGACCCTCCCCCCGTTCCAGTTCCTCATTCCGTTTCCCCATCCCTCCGTTTCTTTCCCTACCAGGTTCTGAGCCATGGACGTCAGCAATGGGGGTATGTGTGTGGTAATGGGTGGCCCTTCCCCCATTCTTGTTCCTCATTCCATTTCCCCATCCCTGCGTTTCTTTCCCTACCAGGTTCAGAGCCATGGACGTCAACAACGGGGGCATGTGCGTGGTGATGGTCAACAGCAGAGGAGAGCCCATGGTTGAAAGTTTAAATGTTACAGCTCATCTACAGTCACAAGCAATTAGCTACCATTTCAAGTCTTAGATGAGTACATATGGTTGGGATCAACCGTTAGTTTTCACTGTCAGCCACTGATTACTGCTAGCTACGCCTTTAACACCAATTACCCATTGTACATTTGTAAGTGATTCATGCTTGGTTGATCACTTAGATGTGAAGTAGTGAACTAATACGTGATAGCACGCAAGTGAATGATCTGATTTTAAACGAAACCGTGATTTCAGCCTATAACGCGCACAAAATGCTCAGTTCCAGTGGGCTACAACGGGTCGTCTCGTCACCCACCAACCTGCAGCATCAGCTGCCCAGCATCGCCACGTCCGATAGCTGCGCCTCTCAACTGAACCTTGCTGCTGCGGCTTTCGAATGACACCACCTACTAGCAACTTAGGCTGCGTATGAGAAAATAAGCGGAAATATCAGAGAATAAGCGCAACGGTAATATGTTGGCCTGATATTCTGCTCGAAACCGCCGCTCGACTGAGCTGTCAGCTTCCCGGCCCTTCTATCTCTCCCGCCTTTACATCCCAGGCGAAGGACCGTAATTCAGGGGACACCCCTCGCAATTACCCCCCGTGTTATCAGGGGAACCCTCGCAATTACCCCCCGTTTTATCAGGGGACACCCAACGTATCTTCCCATGGCTCATGCCGCTGCTGCCTCTACCATCCGCTGTTTTGCCACTCCCGTTTCCTCGGCAATTCCAAGGCCAGTTGTAGTGCCACGTGGCGCGACCAGAGCCACACGCATACCAGACTCTCGATTCAGTCACATGCCGTCCCAAAATCGCCACGTGTCACCCAGACAAGAGCGCTCCTCTCCCGTCACCAATAGCGAAGCGAGGCTCCTAACTCGTGCTCATGGCAGCGGATCAGGACTGCCACGTGGAGGAAATCCATTGGCAGCGGGACGTGAGAGCAGCAGGGCAACAGTAGCAGCAGAAGCAGCAGCAGGAGGAAGGGTGGAAGGGGGGGGAGGAGGAGCGGGAGGGGGGGATGGGATAAGGGAGAGTGGTGGTGGGGAGGTGAACCTAGGAGTGGCAGCAGCAGCGGTTGACGAAGCAGCTGTTCTGGTTCGGCCACAGCATCGGATAGAGGTGCCTCCCCCTCCCTCTCTCCACCCACCCTCCCCCCTCCCCCCCAAACCCACCCTCACCCCCCCACGCTGCCTTTTCTCCCTCCCACTGTCTCGCCCTACCTCTCACTCACTTCCCTGCTGACATCAAATACGTGAGGAGTCTATTTTTGAGGCCCCTAAAAAATAGACTCCTCACTTCCCTGCAGACATAAAATACGGCTCGACAGCTATGTCTCACTTCTCATCTCCCCCTCCCCCTGTCCCTCCCCCCCTATCTTTCACTCTCTCCCTCCCTCTCCTAACTTTTCCCCGAATCCTTCTCCCCCTAGCAGCACTGCTGGCTGTGTGTCTGAGCTTGGCCAAGCGAGTGCTCTAGCAACTAACCCTAGTGCTCGCAGCTCGCAGCTCGCCCCCACGTGAGGAGTCTATTTTTGAGGCGCCTAAAAAATAGACTCGCGCCCTTTACCTCCACCCGCTCACTTCATTCTTTCTCTACTCTGACCACTCCCTCCCTCCCTCCCCCCTTCTCCCCAACGCCAGCTGCTCCTGGCGGCACTGCTGGCAGTGTGCCTGGGGGTGGCCAACCGAGTTTCCTTCCCTCCTCCTCTCCCTCTTCTCCTTCCCGCCCATCACCAGCTGTTACTAGCAGTGCTGCTGGCGGTGTGTCTGGGCATGGCAAACCAGGTGCTCTACAAGCTCACACTCATACCTTTGATGCCCTACCCCGTCGTCCCCTCCCGCCCCCTCTACCCCGTCGTCCCCTCCCGCCCCCTCTACCCCTTCCCCTCAACAATCAGCTGTTTCTAGCAGCACTGCTGACGGTGTGCCTGGGAGTGGCCAACCGAGTCGTCCCTCTCTACAAGATCGCCTTGCCCCCTTGCCCCTGAAGCCCGGCCCCTTCTTCCTCTCCCAGCTTCTTCCTCTACCCCCCCCCTTCTGTTTCCCGCCAACCAGCTGTTACTAGTGGCGCTGCTGGCGGTGTGCCTGGGAGTGGCCAATCGGGTGCTCTACAAGCTCGCCCTCATCCCCTTAAAGCCCTACCCCTTCTTCCTCGCTCAGTTGACCACATTCGGGTAAGCCTTGCGCCTTCTATGTCTCACCTGCTCATTCGAGGCCACATCCAAGTAACATTTTTTGAGGCGTTTCAAATCTAGCCTTGCGCCTCATATGACTGACCTGCTCATTTAAGGCCACATCCAAGTAACAAGCCATGCTTCTTGCGCCCTCATTCCCTTCTAACCCTGCCCCTTCTTCCTCACGCAGCTGACCACATTCGGGTAAGCCTTTCCTCTCTAATTCAGGGTTTTGGGCCTAGGGTTTAACCCTCCACATCCAAGAAAGGTAAGGCTTGGATGTGTGCCTTTGTCTTGCCTCATATGCCCGACTGACATTCCGCCTTTTGAGGCGTCTCGAAAGTTGTCTCATTCGAGTAAGCCTTTCCTCTCTAATTAGCCCTCCACCACATCCAAGAAAGGTAAGGCTTGGATGCGTGCCTTTGTCTTACTTGATGTGCCCGACTGACATTCCGGTACATTTGGCCCTTTCCCTTCTTCCATTTTTAGTTTTGAGGCGCCTCAAAACTAGACTCCTAGTCCAGTACATTTGGCCCTTTCCCTTCTTCCATTGCTCAGCCCACCACCTTTCGGTAGCGTTCCCTGCCTCTTGTTCCTTACTGCCCTTGAAACTCAAATTCTTTTGCTCAAACGAGACTTGCTCCTGATTGTCATCTTTGATTGTCCTCTTTCTCTCTTCCCTTCCCATCTCTCTTGCACTGCTTTCTCCTGCATTTTCGCCTCCTTCCTCCAGCTACGTGACCAGATATCTATTCCACCATCCTTATCACCCATGCCTCCTCCCCTCATCATAATCACACCCAACATGCTCTTTCTGCTGAAGCGCCACTACCCTCCTCTCCCATATCCGTCCCTGCTTCTCCCTGCACCCCCCTGCATCCCCCTGCACCCCCCTGCATCCCCCTGCACCCCCCTGCATCCTTCTGATCCTCCTGTCCCGTCTTACTTTCCTTCAGCTACCTGGCTATCTACTCCACCCGAGGGCATATCTCTTGGTGCAACATAGCCGCACCCGACAAGACATGCTCTTCCTGCCCCTCCCATGCCATGCTCTGCTCTTCCCCCCCTCTCATCCTTCCCCCTCTCCAGCTACGTGGCTATCTATGCCATCATCCTTATCACACGCATATCTCTCAACATAGCCACACCGGACCTGACATGCTCTCCCTGCCCCTCCCCCCCCCTCCCCCCCCCTTCTCGCTGCTCTCTCCCCCTTATCCCCTCCAGCTACGTGGCCATCTATTCCATAATCCTCCTCACCCGCGCCTCCCTCAATATAGTCACACCTGACATGCTCGCCCTGCCCAAGCGCCCCTTTCTGCTTATGGGGCTCTTAGAAGCCGTGGGGCTCACGTCAGGCATGATGGCTGCTGGTACGCTGGGTGCTGATTTGGATTAGGTTATGTATGATGTACCCTACTACATCCGACATGCTCGCCCTGCCCAAGCGCCCCTTCCTGCTCATGGGGCTCCTGGAAGCCGTGGGGCTCACGTCAGGCATGATGGCTGCTGCTGGTACGCTGGGTGCTGATTTGGATATGGTTGTGTATTGATGTACCCTTACACCGAACATGCTCGCCCTGCCCAAGCGCCTCTTTTTGCTCATGGGGCTCCTGGAAGCCGTGGGGCTCACATCTGGCACGATGGCTGCTGGTACGCGGGGTGCTGTTTTGGATATGGTTCTGTATTGATGTCACCTACACCCGACATTCTCGCCCTGCCCAAGCGCCCCTTTCTCCTCATGAGGTTCCTAGAGGCTCTTGGGCTCACGTCAGGCATGATGGCCGCTAGTACGCTGGGGTGTTGTTTTGGATATGGTTATGTATTGTTTTGGATATGGTTATGTATTGTTTTGGATATGGTTATGTATTGTTTTGGATATGGTTATGTATTGTTTTGGATATGGTTATGTATTGTTTTGGATATGGTTATGTATTGTTGTCCCCTACTCCCGACATGCTCGCCGTGCCCAAGTGCCCCTTTCTCCTCATGGGGCAGCTGGAGGCTCTGGGGCTCACGTCTAGCATGATGGCTGCTGGTAGGTGTGGTGCTGGCATAGCTTTGCATGATGTATGTACCCTTACACCCTAACTCAAGCGCCCCTTCCTCCTCATGGGGCTCCTATAAGCCGTGGGGCTGACCTCAGGCATGATGGCTGCTGGTGGTACTTCTGGTGCTGATCTGGTTTCAATATTGATATGCCCTACCCTACACTCGAAACCCATGCGCCCCATTCTGCTCATGGGTCCGGGGCTGTGCCCATGGCTCTGCTCATGGGCCTGGAAGCTTTGCGGCTCGTGTCAGACATGACGGCTGCTGGTACGCTGGGTGCTGATATGTATGATGTATCCTACACCCGAAACCCTAATGTACCGTACATTCGAAACCCTAATGCAAATCCTATACCCGAAACCCTAATGTACCCTTCACCTGAAACCCTAATGTACCCTGCACCCGAATCCCTAAACCCCAATGTACCCTACACCTGAAACCCAAGCGCCCCTTTTTGCTCATGGGGCAACTGGAGGCTCTGGGGCTCACCTCAGGCATGATGGCTGTTGGTACGTCATGATGGTAGCATGATGTCAGCATGATGTCAGTATGATGTCAGCATGAATTAGCACGAGGTCTTCTTGATGTTGTTGTCTGGTCTCCGGTATTCCCTACTATGGGTTCTCTCTTGCTCTCTCCATCGCATTCCGAGATGGGCGCTGAGAGGGACAGCAATAAAGATTGAGGACATGACCGTCAACTGGGACCTGGTCGGATCCGGCATGCCGGTACGTGAATTATTGCCTGGGGGAAAGAGAGATGACAAGGAATATGCTCACTCTTGCTGCAGTGAATTACTTTCTTGTTCTTCCTTTCTATCTCTTATCTCTCTTTCCTCCTTAGAACTTCCTGTACTTTCCTTCCGTCATTTCCCTCTAGATTGTAGGGCCCTGGAGGAGACCACATCTGCAACATCTACTGTGATTGCAAGCTTCGGGTTAACGAAGAAGATAAACGGTGGAACGCGTACTTAGCGAATCAGGAGGTCGTGTTCGACCACAACGGAGTTTCTTCGACCTCAATGGTGAGCAGACCGTGTCCTTGTCGCACTATCTACTCTCGGTTCTACTCAGATTAGGGAGCTGCCATCTCCGTGCAGCTCGTGGGCTTTCGAAAGCCTACTGCAGCTCACTCCAGCTCCTCCTTCGAGGGGAGGGTGCAAGGTAGAGAGACCCTCTGGGTCCACGCATGCGAGCACGAGGTGCACGGAGATGGCAGCTCCATAACCTTGAGAAGAACTGAGAGTAGATAGTGCGACAAGGACACGGACTGCTCACCATTGAGGTCGAAAAAACTCCTTTGTGGTCAAACACGGCCTCTTGATCCGCTAAGTACTCGTTCCACCGTTTATTTTCTTCGTTAGTCCGAAGCCTGCGATCACAGTATATGTTGTAGATGTGGTCTTCTCTAGGACTTAACAACTTAGAATGAATGGACGGAAGGAAAGCACAAAAAGTTCTAAGGAGGAAAGAGAGATGAGAGATGAAAAGTAAGAACAAGAAAGTAATTCACTGCAACTGGTGTGAACATATTCGCTGTTATCTCCCATTTCCTCTGGCAAAAACTCACGCACCGCCATGCCTGATCCGACCAGGTCCCAGGTCGACGACCACGTCCTCAATCTTTGTCCCTCTCATCGTCCCTCTCCGTAGAGCTGACATCATAGCCATGCATGATGTATGCACCTTTGGATCGTAACTCAAGCGCCCCTTCCTGTTCATGGGGTTTGCGGAGGCTCTGGGGCTGACCTCAGGGATGATGGCTGCTGGTATGCTGGGTCCCTAACTTAAGCGCCCCTTCCTGCTCATGGGGCGCCTAGGAGCTTTGGGGCTGACCTCAGGCATGATGGCTGCTGGTACGTATGGTGCTCGCACAGCTTTGCGTGGTGTATGTATCCTTGTCGCTTAACTTGGGTCTCCCTGCATCCCCTCATATTTTTCTAGCTCGGCTTTTCCAGCACCTTCCCCTTTTTCCTCTGATACGTGATTGTCACTGCCTTCTCCTGCTCCTTAAGAAGCTCTCCACAAAAGCTCTTCTTACTCAATACCCACCCTGTCTGGCCTCTCTACATAGTTCTAGCTTATGCTCCTGAATGAATCCAGTACGCACAGGGCATACACGCTTTCCTATGATCACGAGAGAACAAACAGAAGTCGCTACAGAACTACGCACACGCAGTTTTGTGGCTACCTCCAGGCAGATTCACTCAGGAACGCTTGCCCCTCCCTCCCATGCTTCCCGCCACAAACCGTTTCGGGTTTTCGTCCGCCGTGATGGCTCCCTGCCGCTTTGCCATCGACGCTGCCCCTCGCCGCATTGCATGCCTTCCCCCTTTCACCTTTCCTGCCACCACTCAACTGTCCCCACCTGCATGCCCCTCTTGATTTGCTCCTTTCACCTACCTGCCAACTGGCGAATCGCTCCTCTGCTCCCCATCCTCGATTTGGACACCCATCACTGTACAACCTCTTTTACCGGCATCGCCTGTACACCACTTTCCTTCCCCAATTCTTTTCGCGTAACCCTCTCGAGTTGTCCCGCGAATTGTCAAACACATTCATTATGACAATTCGCGTGACATCCTTACACCTTACCCCAAGCGCCTGTCCTGCTCATGGGGCTCCTAGGAGCCGTGGGGCTGATCTCAGGCATGATGGCTGCTGGCATGTTTGGTGCTGATCTGGTTTTAATGTTGATATGCCCTACATTCGGAACCCATGCGCTCAATTCTGCTCATGGGTCTGGGGCTCTGCCCATGGCTCTGCTCATGGGCCTGGTATCTATTTTTGAGGCGCCTCAAAAATAGACTCTGCCCATGGCTCTGCCCATGGCTGTGCTCATGGGCATGGTAGCTCTGGGGCTCACGTCAGGCATGACGGCTGCTGGTACGCTGGGTGCTGATATATATGATGTACCCTACACCCAAAACTCTAATGTACCCTACACCCGAAACCCTAATGTACCCTACACCCGAAACCCTAATGTACCCTACACCCGAAACCCAAGTGTCCCTTTCTTCTCTGGGGCTCACCTCAGGCATGATTGCTGCCGGTACGTCATGATGGTAGCATGACGTCAGCATGAGTCAGCATGAGGTCTTCTTGATGCTGGTGTCTGGTCTCCGGTGTTCCCTACTATGGGTTCTCTCTTGCTCTCTCCGTCTCATTCCTCTGCACTGCATCGCTTCCTTAACCGTCACATTCAAAACATCTCAAACGCTCTTGAGTTGACTCCAAGCTCTTAAGCAGTCCCCTCTCTCAAGCAGTCCCCTCTCGCTCTCCATCTCACTCCTCCTCTCTACTGCATCGCTTTCTTAACCGTCACACTCAACTTGACTCACAAGCTCTTCAGTTAACTCCAAGCTCTTAAGCAGTCCCCCCTCGCTCTCTCCATCTCACTCCTCCTCTCTACTGTATCGCTTTCTTACCCGTCGAAAGCTCAAAACTCGACGCTTAACTTGACTTAAAAGCTCTGGGGTTGACTAAAAAAAGCGGTCATCTTCTCTCGCTCTCCTCATCTCACTTCTTTGCGCCTCATCATTACCCTGACTGTCAGTTCACTCCCTCAACACCGTGTGTAATGAGTCGACTAAAAAATCGACTCATCTCACTTCTTTGCGCCTCATCATTACCCTGACTGTCAGTTCACTCCCTCAACACCGTGTGTAATGAGTCGACTCAAAAATCGACTCATCTCACTTCTTTGCGCCTCATCATTACCCTGACTGTCAGTTCACTCCCTCAACACCGTGTGTAATGAGTCGACTCAAAAATCGACTCATCTCACTTCTTTGCGCCTCATCATTACCCTGACTGTCAGTTCACTCCCTCAACACCGCATCCTTGCCCCTAACCCTAATCCCCTGACCCCCTCACCCCCTTTCCTGCTGTATCTTTGCCTTGATGGCCCTTTTCAGCGCACATGCCTGGAGCCCTCATCCCCGTCCTATCGCAGGTATTCTCCCACCCTTCCCCTCCCTGTCGTTCCCTTGGCTTGGGGCTGTTGAGATTTTTAAGTTCCTTTGGCTCTACATCCTTGCCATCTGCAGCGCACATGCCTGGAGCCCTCATCCCAGTCCTCTCGCAGGCATTCCCCCTTCCCCTCCCTGTCTTTCCCTTGGCTTGGGGTTGTTGAGATTTTTAAAGTTCCTTTGGCTCTACATCCTTGCCATCTGCAGCGCACATGCCTGGAGCCCTCATCCCAGTCCTCTCGCAGGCATTCCCCCTTCCCCTCCCTGTCTTTCCTTTAAACGGTGGGAATTCACGAGTACCTTTTGCTGTTATAATTTCTGCCCGCATCCCTGTCTTTCCTTTAAACGTTGGAAATTCACAAGTACCTTTCGCTGTCATAATTGCGGCGTTCTCGGTCGCCGCAACTCGCCGCACCTCAACTTGGGTGCCCTAATTCCGTAACACTCCCCACCCCTCACCCCATTAACGCTCCCCATCCCACCTCAGGTGTTCCTGGTGTGGCAGCTCTCCCTCTCCTCGCTCTTCCTCGGCTGCCACTACTCGCCGCATCTCACAACCTTTCCAGCTGCCATGCGCCCCCATGCACCCCTCACGCTCCCCTCCTCAACCTTCTTTTAACAGGTGTTCCTGGTCTGGCAGCTCTCCCGCTCCTTGCTCTTCCTCAGCCGCCACCACTTGCGGCAAATCAACGGTGCCAGCTGTCATACGCCCCCGTGCACCCCTCACATCACACACACTCCCTTTCCCACACAACATGCCTCAACACCAACCCCAACAGGTCTTCCTGGTCTGGCAGCTCTCCCTCTCCTCGCTCTTCCTTGGCCGCCGCTACTCGCTGCAGCAGCTTATTGGATGCTTCCTCGTGATTATGGGGGTCGTGGTGGTGGTGACGACCAGGTACTAATGTGTGGCTTGCTGGGCCTTGCCAAGCCATCCCATGCCATGTTATGCCATCCCATGCCATGCCATGCCATGTCATGTTATGCCATCCCATGCCATGCCATGCCATGTCCTGTTATGCCATCCCATGCCATGCCATGCCATGCCATGCTCTGCATACGGCATGCAACATCAACCCATGTCCTCTCACGGTGGTAACACTTTCTCCCTCCTTTCTTCAATCCAATCCAATCCAGCCCAAACCCACCCATCCCCCTCCCTCCCTCCACCCCTTCCTTTTCCCCCACACCAACACCACACTAGAATAGACCCTATCTCCTCTTTATCCTCATCTGTTCCTGTCTCCGTTTTCCCCTCCAACCAAATCCCCCCCCCTTCCCTCCCACCCTCTCTCCTTCCCTTCCCTTTTCTCCCACACCAACGCCACAGTGGGCCTCCCACCTCCTCGCTATCCTCGTCATTGGCCGCCTCGCTATCATCCACAGCTGTCCAGTGGCCCCTTCTCTTTATGTTATCCGCCGCGTTTCCCGCAGCTTCCTCTATTATTAAGGTGGGCGTTCCTTCTCATTTCATAATCAGCTGTTCTTGAGAAGGAACCCATACACAGGGTTTCGTTTACCTCCATTCCTTTCCGAGCATCCCTTCTGATGCACCCTCCAGGCACAGGGCATTCTCGTCTGATTGATCCCCACTGCTTGCATTCCCTTCGCCCCCTTCTGATCTGCAGGAATCCGTTTTCCGAGATTCGGCCAAGAAGCTCAAGGTAAAGCCTACCCCTCATGCACCTCCCAGGCTCAAGCTCGCCTTGCCATTATACGGCCTAACCTCCTTGAACACATAGTACTCCTGGTGTTTTTCACAGCACCCACAATGTGGTGACTTTTGAGTCGACTCAAAGTCAACCGGGTTCAAGCTCGCCTTGCCATTATACACCCGGTGTCCACAAAATGCCATGCTCGAGTCAGTCCCAATCAGTCCCCCCCTGACGCATATTCTCGTCCAAATACAGTGATTTGCAGTCAGTCCCAATCAGTAACGCGATTCGCAAACAGTGTGTTCCAATGTCGGGCTTCAGGTGTAGAGTCTAACCTCCTCGAACACATAGTACTCCTGGTGTTTTTCACAGCCCCCACAATACCCTATCCACTCGCTTCACTCTTGTCACCCAGTCATCTCCCCAGCAACCCTCCTCGTCCATTTTCCTTTCGCCTCCCGCGCCCTCACATCTTCTTCTCACACGTCATACTCTCTTCTCAGCCTTCCTTTCCGTCTTTCTTGATTTTGAGAATTCTCAAAAGCCTAACACTTCTCACAAGTCATACTCTCTTCTCAGCCTTTCTTTCTTTCTTGTTCAGTCGCATGATCCTACATACATCTTGTGGACCTGTGGGGCGGGAGCCATGGCAGTTATCCCAGTCCAATCCATACCATGCCATGCTGTGCTATGCATGGTCATCGTGCCATGCTTTGAACTGCCGTCATCCCATTCAACGCCATGCCTCAGGGTCGTTCGTTGGACATCTTCGTCGTCTTCGTCGTCTTCATCGTCTTCGTCGTCTTCGTCGTCAACACCTTCGCCTCCTCCTCGTGTGCCGAGACGCCTCATTTGTCAAGTCGTTTCCTATTTCCCCCTCCCCCCTCCCCTCCGAGTACCATCTCCCCTCAGGCTCTCGTTCGACATCTTCGTCGTCAATACTTTGCCGCTCATTGCATGCTCGAACACCT